TTTATTTTATTCTTTAGCTGAATGTAAATGTCAATATTGGGGATTAATTTTAAAATTATCTTCATTTTCATCTGATAATGTTCGAGAAACATTTATTAAAACGATTCCATTGATTATTAATGATAAACGTCTTTCAGGTTATTTGGAGTTTTTTTTTTTTTTTTTTGGTTTTTTTTGTTATTTGACACAAAATGTTTTAGTTGAATATTTTACAAATGATGCATTGTTATGTCTATCAAATGATTTATTCATTAATCTTATTGTGAATCTATTTAATCATTTATTAAGTGATATTCATTCAAGTGATGAAGATGAAGAAGAAATTACGTTGAATCGTCGTTTATGACCATCATCTGAAGATTATAATAATGTATTTGTATCCGAAAATGAAAGCTGGGATCATTGTTGTGCTTGTTATGGACAACACCTTCTTTCTTCATTGGAAAAAATTCTAGGAAAATCTTCAATAGTAAATATTGATAAAACAATTGATATGATACGTGATCAATGTCATTGATCAATTTATATTCAAACAGAAGCATTCAATCGATTTTTTATAAGACAAAGATCAACAGTTCGATTAAATTTAATGATCGAATTTCTACATGTGACGAAATCAATACACAGTATTAAATTAGAAGAATTACCTCAACAATGGACATCCCATCATTAAAACAAGATCATTTCCTTGATTTAGGGTGTGAGTGTGAATGCTGTTCTCTTCTTACATCACACCCACACCCCATTTTATCTGACTGACTATGCAATTCGTTCGAGTGTTTGATCGTAGAAAAAATGAAATTGTCCGATTGGTAGTACAACCAGATAATGTTATTCAAAGTCAATATTTTACGAGAACATTTTCTGAGACTAAGGGAATAAAATACAAAGAGAATGATTTGAATGAATTTATAAGGTCTGTAAAGTAATTATTGCAAGAATAGAGAAAGAAATATCATTCTTGTCGTTTCAGTTTACCATTGAATGCCAATGGAAATTTCCTATGACAATAGGATGTAAACATTCTGTATGAACTTATTGATCGTGATAGTGAGAAACTAAATATTTAATTTTACGACACACTTATTCTTGGTGTTCTAGCTTCTGAATATCCGTTATCATCATCTCGCTTAAAATTCTGGTCATGGTTCAATATAGCTGCAAGTAAGTTAAACACTTAATAATATCATTCGGAAAAATCAAAACATTATCTCTGAATGTTAATAAACTTGCGTTTGTGTTTTGTTTTTCACTGACAGATTTATTCAGTCAACAGATTCGACTATCAATGATAAAAAAAACATCGTAATCAAGCTCTTACGGTAAATGTAAGAAGCTTCATCCTCTTATGTGTCGTCAGTTTTTCATTTGTGTATTGTCTATTGAGTGTTGAATACGCATGAGACTTTTGTATGAACTTATTAAATGTATTGTATTTCTATAAATGCTCACAGAATACATCTAGCTTTCATATGCACTAGGGCTGTCAGCGTTCCGTTCCTAGAAACAGGAACGCATCTCAAAACCGCATTTTTCAGATTTATTTCAACAGGGCGAGGGTTCTAGATGTGTTCGCTTGTCTTTTTATGTTTGAATGTTCGGCGTTCCTTGTTCCTGGGAATGGGGAACGGGAACGCAACATACATTCCTTTCACTTTTAATGGAAGTTTTACAAAGTCACTGGAGGAAAGGCAATTTCATGAAAATCATGGATTTTTATAAAGTTTGACCAAAGGTACTCGAGGTTAAGGTATCTAAATCTGCAGTCAGTTTCTGAAAGATTTGAGTTTGATTTTGTCAAGGAAAGGATATTTTCTAAAAATGACGGTATTGTATAAAGTTTGAACGAAAGTAATCGGGGTTGAGGAATCCGAATCTTCAGTCGATTTCTCAAAAATTTCGAGTACGATTTTTTTCATGAGAAAATAGATTTCCAGTAGAAAAAGCTTTCTTTTTCACAAAGATTCCTTTTATTAAAAACTGAGTTTTTTTATTAACAGTGTCTTTTTGGTAAAGAACAAACTCAAAATTTTGACAAACAGTTTATAGATTCAGATATCTCGATCACCTTTTGTGAGACTACACGATATCGTTATTTTTAGACAATTACTTTGCGCTCTGTTATGAATTGTTATCAGCAAGACAGCAGCGTGATGGTATGACAACAGAACAGAGAAAAAGACAATCCCCGTTCGCACGGAATAGAACCATGCATCGCCTGCTTACCAGGCAGTCGTATATCACTGTACTAGAAAGGGTGTCTTCTCTCTGTCTTACGATTGAATGGGAACAATCCGATTGTAACACGCTCGATGAACTCGAAAAGTGTACGTTACTCGTTATCGGGCAACGCAACTGACTAGTAACTGTAACTTGCCTTGCGTGTTGAAGACAGGAAAAGTGCTCACACTTATATTAGCGCTTATGAATGTGAGTTGCACATTCGTAGTTGATAGAAACGACAGCGTCAAAAAGGAAAAGCAAACACGTTTAAAGACTTCGCTACATTGAAACAATTCTATGAAACTCAGTATGAGACGTGTCCCCGCTGCTTGGGAACGAAACGCTTAAGTACAGTAACACGGGAATAACTAATTTTCATTTAAAAAGATAAGCAAGCATTTATAAAAAATATCTGCATATTGAAAGAGTCCTAGAAAATGCAGCATGCGATGCATTCTCTGTTCATGGAAATTGGACTGATAACAGAGGCTCATGTTTATCATGATCGTGGATTTCGGATTTGAAGGTGTCGAAAATGCCTAATTCGAGTGAACTTTATTTTTTGTTCTATTTATATATGATTTGTTAGACCTTGAAAAGCTGTTCATAAATACATAATTATTCAATTTTGATTGAATAACTGTTTAGCTTCAACAGCATTCAGTCTCACCGTAGGAATGCCGCTCACTCATTTCGTTTCCAGGAATAGGAACATGGAATACGGCTTGAGTTTTTACTCCTTGAAGCGAGAAATGCCATATGTATTATAGCCTCTGAGAATTGAGGAATCTAGTTAGATTCGTCGGTTACCAAATCAAAAAATATAAGAAAATATTCTTTTTGTAAGGTATAACTTCCGGTACTAACAGATGTTTTTTTAATCAGAGCCGATATGCAAAATGATTTTGTCAACGTTGGACGAAAGTAAAAATGTGGAAAGTATGAAGTCCAGTAAACGAAAAATGAAAACATTGAAAGCTGAGCTGCAGAATTCTGAATATTTGCTTTTTGAGAAAATTAAAACCTACATAAGTCAGCTCAAATAGAACGCTTATTATATTGATCAAGAAAAACTTGAAATACGAGCAATAGTCTTGAAACATCATTTTATTGACCTTCAATAATCTTCTCGTTGCACAATCATAAATTTTTTCCTGCCACGATTAAGGGCAAACTATTGAGGAGATTAGATACTGTAATGAGATAGTTATATTATCAATTGTACGTGTTCATTCGATTTTTTAATACTGTTTTTTGTGAAGTTTTCCTGCCTCGATACAAGTGTTAGTATGGCTTTAGAAAAAGATACAGCAGCACCTACATTCCTTAGCTACACCACCACTCATCCTTAGCTGCCTATATCTCCCTTCATCTACACTGATCTACGCAATCACCCACTTTCTCGTTCACATCCAAACTTTTATCAGTACACTCGCATACAATCGTATTCATACTTGTCTACATTCGTACACGCTCATATCTTGTACCTTTAATGTTTTTTAGTCTCTACATTTAAGCTTCGACAATTTTACTTTCGACTCTAAACTGTCGACATCTTCACCATCGACCACTTTATTTTGACGTTTTCGCTACGAAGCTTTTACAATCCAAATCTTTAATTTCGATCAAAGTTGCTTTTATCATGAAAAACATCTCTCTTTGAACCAGGCACTAAGTTTGTCTGATAATTAAACTTTGTCTATACTTAATATCACGATTAAATTGAATGAAGAGATTTACATCTGTAGAGTCTCTTTATGATCAGTTAAGCTAAATATTAGTTTTATGGAAACTACTCTTCAATAACTTAAATTTTTTCTTCGTTAAGTTGAAGCACTATTAGAATAAGAACATAAAAGATGTTTTTAACGAGTCTCTTTCATTTCCAAACCAAAAGATAAGTCGAAATTTTTTATTAGTATTCAACAATTTGATAAGGAACAAATCACCAACCAGTATCATAACAGCATCACACAAAACATTGTAACGAATAGTTAACAGTAAAAAGCGCTATAGCAAAACAATACTAAAGGAAATTATAACGGCAATGTTATAACAAAAATTTCATAATGGCAATCTCCACGACAATTTCATAAACGACCTTTTTTCCGCAAAAACTTCTTTTTCTTTTAAAACTTAATTTTTTTACTAAAAAAAAATATTTTTAGTAAGAAAAATTAAATTCAGATTTTTGAGAAACTCAAACTTAAAAAAATTATTATTTTTCAAACATACCCTTTCCTTGACAAGAGAAATCGAACTCGAAATTTTTGAGAAATCGACTGAAGATTCGGATTCCTCGATCCCGATTTCCTTTGTTCAAACTTTATAAAATATCCTTTCCTTAACAAAAAAAATCAAACTCAAAATTTTCAGAAACTGATTGCAGATTTAGATTCCTTAATCTCGATTATCTTTGGTCAAACTTTATAATAATTCATGATTTTTATGAAATTGCCTTTCCTCCAGTGACTTTGTAAAACTTCCATTAAAAGTGAAAGGAATGTATGTTGCGTTCCGGTTTCCCGTTCCTAAAAACAGAACGCCAAACTGACACCCTTAATCTGCACTATTAGTCTCATTTAAGTAGGAGATTGATGAATCTATTTGCAAACTCTATGCTTTATCTGCTACATAAAACCATGCAAAATAATATTGATCTGATTTGTTTAATGTTTAGGCATTTTTATTCATTTGGGTTGGTTGAATTATATGTTCTATGTGAACAAATATATATGAACACTATAAAATACCTCTTCAATTATGCATCTGATCATATCGCAACTCAATCATTTCATTTAGGGAAGCGAATAACTATCGTAATGAAGGTTTCGTTATTATACATCAGAGTAATCAATACATTAACTCCATTATTGATCAAAATAATGAAATAAAATGAAAGAATGGATCCAAAAGATTGATGTCGATCGTCTCACATCTAATCCATTAGCTTATTTGGAATCTATTACTCGACTAACAAGTTCATGAAATATTGGAGAAAACTGTATTCTTGTTTTTTTTTATCATTCATGTTAATGTAATTAAAAGGAGTAAAATAGACAAAAAAAAGGAAAGCAGCAAAAAATAAATTTTATTGTCGGTAAAATGAATACTATCAATCGA